AAGGCTGGATGTAGGTTGGCAAGCAAGTAGAATTAGCAGGAGACTAGGAGTTCAAACTCTGGTATAGACAAAAGATAAAGTAACACCTAAAGATTAAAAAAAAGGTTATCACAAATATTGATTAAAAAAGAAAAAAAATCACAATTGAAAGGTATTTTCCTTAAATGATGCCTTTAGGATCATTCCTGTAATAGTTTGTTTTGTGCTAGTTCAGACGACTAGGCTTTTTTGCTGAAGACGTGCTCTACCATGGATTTTTGGTAGTTAACTGTAGACAAGAGCCTTGCCCAGGTTTCAACTGTGATCCTCAGATCTTAGCCCCTAAGTAGCTAGGATTATACTCTGAGCCATCACACTCTGCCTCTAATATAGTTAATTTTAATGTGCAATTTAAATTATTTACCTTGTAAAGACTTTCAGTATTAAGCTCCACGAAAAGAAAAGAGCCCAGAAATGACCATCTTTATAGGAGTCAAGCTTACTGAAGATTGTGTCACTATTTTCTACATCATTTAGACAAAACCCATCGTTTTCATGATTAGAAATGTCAGTCATCCAACTTGCAGTAGTTATGGGTCTGAAGTCCTTGGGTGGGAAAGTCGGCATATTTGCAGAAAAGTTTAAAAGTCAATTCATTTTGTCCTCTTTGAAAAGTCACACTTTTTTTTCAGGTCTTTTATTGATACAGTGTTATAAAACAAAGTCAAGAAACTTCAGTTAGAACACAAATTCAGAAAGTATTTCCTTAGGAAAAGAAGGTAGCTTTTGGAGACGTTATGATAAAACGGAAAAAAAAATGTCCTACAACTCTGCTTAGTACATTTTTTTTTACAGACCTTTACACACTAATCAAGCTTTAGCAATAAATAATAAACACAATACTAAATTATCTTTAAAAGGTCTATGCCATGAAAGTGTTGGTATGTTTGAAGTGATCCTGGTTAAAAAAGTACTGCTACTCACATAAACCTTTTATATTCCATGAATATAAAAGGTTTATTCCATGAAGTCTTACAGGCTGGCTTATGATTATGCCAAGAATAACACAACTACAATCCTGTGAGTAATTCTGGCAAGTAATCTGACCTTCAATTGCACAATATACAACCTCACACACCCTCGAAAGCAGCAACAACTTATCCCGGGTGTGTACCAGGGATGTGTCCATAGGAGGTTGATGCCAATGTATTTGGGATACACAGCGACAATTCATTCATCTTCCTGCCCTAACCAACTCCTCACTTCAGGTATTTCTACCTTCCACGTAGACCAAAATGTAATGACTATAAATGTTTTACTGACCAATGTTTACAAGTATGAAATTATGTAACTAGGTAATGAGATTCACTTTGGGTTAAGAGAACCAAGCTCACAACCCTTTCTTTAAAGGTCAACACATTTTAGTAAATGTCCAGTCATGCATTTTATGTTCTCTTCTCCACCAACCCCTCCAAAAACGCACAACAAACAAAAATCACCACCACAAACAAAAAGTTAAATTATCAAACCCTTCCTTCATTCTGGCTCAAGCAGAATAGGAAAAGTCAGAAAGATATCAAGAACTAGGGTCCACGCAGCCATTTTATCATGGCTGACTCAGAGCTTAGTAGTCTTCACTTTCTCAGACTGGCCTATTTTCTCTTACGCAAGCATTTTATTTTTCTCATTGAAAAATATCTACAATATAGCATAAAGATAAGATCACTCTGTTATCAGCAAAACAGCTTGTGGGGATACCTAAGGAAGCTAACTTAAGCTTTCTGCAGATCTGCTGTTGGAAAAGGGGGGCTTCATAAGCAAGCACTGCAATTGCAGGAGTTGTTGACAACTTATCTTTTCTACAGTGAGATAACCAAAAATGAAAATTTGCTTTTATTACATAATATCTCTATTCATCTTTTTTCTTTGGCACACTGTTACTTGATGTGAGGGAGGAATGTAACACGTTAAATATGAAAAGGAAGAAAGGGAACAGTGTGGTTAGGGTGAAGAGGCAGTTGTTACTTTTCACAATTAAAACAATTTAATCCTTGCCAGAATATGTAATCCTAGCATCTTTACAGAATTTTAAAGCTGGAGGAGTCCATACGGACCATCTGGTCATACTCTCTTGTCTTAAATGATAGGAAAACTAAAATTTAAGCCTGAGATCAAGCAGTTATGTAATAACAAAACTGGGGCTTCTGATTCAGTACATTAGTATTTTCACAAATATAACAGTTTTCCAAGATTTATTTAAAGCTATGCACACAAAAACAAGTGAATGTTAAGTGTTGTTTGTAACAAGACATAGGTATCATTTCAAACTGATCTTTCTTTCACAAAATATAGATCCTGTGATTCTTTGCTAATTCCAGTCTCCCAAAAGATTTGTGCCTACCAGCACAGGTGTAGGAGGGTGAAAATAGTTTAACAGTTAAATGTTTTTTTTTTTTTTTTTAAATAGGTAAAGAAAAAAAATAATGCAAGCTAGCTGCGACTATGCAATCGATGGAAATTGCTGGGATTAATAGCTACTGAAAAGACAAGATAGAATGCATAATGGAGCCAGAGAACTGCTTCTAGAGGGTTCTCCCCCTGCAGAGAGAAAAACAGCAAAAGATAGGAGCAGCATAAAAGTACTGGAATGCATGTTATATAAGACAGCTGACTAGAATAATCAGAATTCTTGTGGCACAGGATAGTAAAATCTGCATTTCTATACCAGAATTCCAAAAGATCACCACAGCGATCCTTAAGGGAATATTCTGAAAAAACCGTCTATGGATATTGTGGTCTAAGTTAAAGGTATTCTCATTTTTTATTTAGGATTTCTGAGCCTCAACGACTTAGCTGGGTCCTCTCAAAGACTTACCTGGGAAATGCCCCAGGCAAACACAATAAGGCTAATTGGTTCCCAGCCCAGGCAGTCACACAAGGTAGTTGCCCCATAGTCACTCCCCCAACCAACCCCCAAAAGGAGCCAGGGAACATTATGTAATTATTGCCCAAGCTCTAAGATGAAGAGATGAGAAGTCTCTCGAAAATGTCTGTCACTAAAAAAGGTTTTCCTATATCAGTTAAGTGACCAATTATAAGGATTTCACTATTACTGTGAAAACACATTTTGTCACCCACTGAGGAAAAGTCCTTTGGCTTACAGATAGAAAAAAAAATTATGTTCATCTATCAATTCATCCTTGGTTGCTTGTGGTTACAAAAGAAGACTAGCCCTCAGTGCTTGGATCCAGTATTTTTTTCTTTGGATATGGGGATCTGAGAAAATAAGAGATATAAATGGTTACTTTTGTATAGCTTCTATGAGCACAGAATTTAAATTATGGTGAACCTGTAGGAAAATCTACGAATCTGAAAACAGAGCTTCTGTTTCATAACTGACAAAAACTGTCAAAAGTCAGATTTAAAAGCTGCTCAGCAAATGGAATTTTTTGACAGTTTCCATTTTCTTCCCTACAGAAGAGAAAAAAGCTGTTTGAAATGACATCATCTTTTGCTTTCTCTTTAAAAAAAATGGGAGGAGTCATTTATTTTCAAGATTTAAAATTTATAAATAGCATTAAAAATATATGTTTAAAGTTGTGATTACGAGTCTGTTTTAGATACAATGTATGTTATAGAGGTAATAATTTGCTACAGCCATTTTTATCTGTACATTCCTAAAATTTCTTTTAAGACTAAAACTGTTTGCAATGTGCTCAGGAAAACAATTACTATATCAAAACCCTTAATCCTTCTGGGGACTTTGTTCACTGTTCCTATTTCAGGGCAAAGCAGTCCTTTCAAAAACAACAACAAACAACACTTCTGACCTTTCTGTTTTTAACTAAAACATTTCCAGAAAATAAGTATAACCATAACTAGATTTGCATTACATTTCAAAATTTTTATAGTGTACTAGTGGCCTGTATTTCAGTAGCAACTTTCATTAGCCCATATAAAACCTCGTATTGCTGGTAGTTGGCATACCAATGATCCTTTTTAAGTTAAAACTAGCATTGCCCTATTGAGAACACATCTTGAAAAGTGCTACCAAGGGAGGAAAAAGTATGCGAAACGATGTGACTTCTACAGTCAATTTTTACAGGATCAAATTTTTGGAGAGGACACTTCCTAGACCATTACATTCACGCGTAATTAATTAGTGTAAGCCACTAAAAGTTAACATAGTAGCTGTTCTACGTAACCTTCACTTAGTGGTAAGGAGGGAGTTTTTCTTTTTGGTAATTTTTTTTTCATTTTATAGAATCAGGGACAGATTTCTTAGCTTTGGTTTCCTAAAAAAAACCCAAGTTACAGAAGTCAAGCGTTGCTTCTATGCACTGTCACCCACGGACTTTTCTTTTTAAGCCTGGAATATCTGTTTCCATACATGTCCACAGCCAGAATCCACTCCTGAGTCCGGCTCACCCTCCCGCCGCCCCCCTTCTCCCCCGGGCGGTGAAGTTCGCCAGCCAGGGAAGAAAGGAAGGTCAAGAAGTGGGAGGGGGGGGGGGCGAAGGGGGGGAGGCCTTCAGAACTCGGAGCCGCTCACAGCGGCCGCGCACACACAGCCCGAGCGGCGTCTGAAACGAAAGTCGGAAACAACAACGGAGGTTGGGGCTTGGAATGATGTCAGCCATTTTAGGCACATTATTTACTCGGGGAAGGAAGTGCCAGAGTCGGTCCGTCACTGGGGGGTGCTGGTGCCGGTCGCCGCCGGTCCTAGGTGGGACGACCCAGGTGTCGATCCCCGCCCAGGACCCCCGACTGGCACACACGCGCCAGCGTGCGGAGCTCCCCGGATCTCCGGTCCCCCCACCCCCAGCCCGGAGGTGTGGGGGGGCGGGATCCCCGCGGTGGCCGTCGCGTTCGGCACGCGCACCCCCTTACAAAGGGGAGAGCCGAGAGAGAGGGGGTGCGGGCGCAGGCCGAGGTGGGGGAGGGACCCTCGCCTCGCCACCCCGGCGCGCCGAGCCGCGTGCCCAGCCCCCCCCCGCAGCCCCCGGACTCCCAGCTCGGACCTTGCAGTCCACCGCCACGGCATCGGGGGGGATGATGAGCGCCTCCTCGCCGCTCTTGAGCTCGTCCTTCTTGGCCTCCTTCTGGGCCAGAGCCGAGTTGAACGTCACCTTCACCATAGTGCGGCCTAGAGCGCCCTGAACGGGCGGCGGGGACCTGAAGGCGCGGACGGTGGGCTACAGGCTGCGGGCTGCAAAGCCTCCGCGGCGGAGCTCGGACGGCGACGCGCACAGCAGCAGCGGACGAAGATCCGACCGTGCTACTGCAGCGGGCGATCCCAGCTTCGCAGCTTCGCAGCTCCGGCGCGCGGGGCGGGGCCTCAGGGCGCGGGGCGGGGCCTGGCGCCGGGTCAAGCCACGCCCCCATCCGCCACCCCCGTCCTCACGGAATCCGGCCTGCTGAGGTGGAGGGCGCCGCCTGAGGGATGGCCGGGCGTCCTGTGTAGGCCACCAGGATTTTCCAGTTCTGAATTCGCTTCCAGCTAGTTTACCTCCGGGGCCCAGGTTGCTGCAGGTTGGTGGCCTCAACGAGTGACCTTTTCTGGTTCGCCGCGAACAATAGGTTTAACCTCTGGGCCGCACCAAGGCTGCCTCTTCCGTGCGTGCCGAGGACACCGCGAACCCGAAGGCTGCGGGGTTTCTGTGTGGAAAATAAGTTTTGTGTGTTGTGTGTTAAACCTCCATGTCCCCGGTTTCCCAGCGAGCCGCCTTAGTGGAGCACAGGAATGCTGAAAGCTCGCTCTCCTCCACAGACCTCACCCCAGGGCGTTGTCTGACTCAGCCCGGCCTGCCTCCTCCTCCTCCTCCTCCTCCTCCTGGGGAAGATCGCTGGCCCTGCCCAGTCCCACAGCAGTCAGTGCCCAGGAACCTTCCTAGCAGATTTGGGTTTCAAACATCTACATTGGCAGAAAAAGTTCCACGCTGGGGAACACTTGTGGGGTGAGGGGGGAACAAAGGACATTGCGTCCAGGACTGATGTGTGATTCAAGGCAAAGTAGTCATGATGAAGTTTAATTTTTCTACAAAATGATAAACATTCATTTAAGCTCATGCCTGTGATCCTAACTATTCAAGAGACGGAGACCTGAGGATTGAGGTTCGAAGCTAGCTTGGGCAGAAAAGCCCATGGGGCTCTTATCTCCAATTAACCACCAAAAGGCTCATTGAAGCTGTAGCTCAAGTGGTTGAACATCAAGAGACAGCACCCAGGCCTTGAGTTCAAATTGTGTACCCTTCACATACCCTATCATCCTTGTTCACCCAATTTGTGGCTGTAGGTTGAATCTGAGGTTTGGGGGGATTTGGTATGCTCAAGTAGAGAGTTAGATGTCTAGAATCTCTAATAGAGTGATAGATCACAAATTCCTGATAATTAGCTTAAGATGTCCCAATTTTAGGAATATCCTGGGCCAAAAAGGAAATCCAGTCAAAACCTTGAGTCTTCTTGGGTATTCTGAAATTTCAGTCTAAATGAAGTGTGTTCAACAAGGGGAGAAGGTAATAGCTAGCCATATGATTTGAAGCAACTATGAGATGAACTCAGATCTATAGGTCTAAACTAGCTTTTGATAGTAAACATGGATCTAATTCCTCAAAGTTAACTACTGACCCAGCTCTCTAGTTCATAGATCTCTTATGAAGTTAAAATTGGAAGACTAAGGATTTCTGAAGCAAAGTCTGTAGTATATATTATGTATATAATATACCATGTGTATGGTATATATACCATATACAATCATATATATGATACATTTTATATATATATACCATATATATGAGAAATATGGTATATATATATGTATGTGTTTATATATGTCATATATATATATCATCCAAGAGCAAACTACTAGTTTGTCTTAATTGGCATAGTTTTCAATTCTAGAATTGAGCAATGTTTCATTCCATGAAATAGAGTAAATTCTGATGAACACAGCAGAGAAGGTTGGTCTTATAGACAAGAAAAACAAGTAAGCAAAAGAAAAAAAAACTGAAGAAAGCCAAAACAAGGAACACAAAGTAGCTTGTCATTTCAAAGTCACTTTGTTTTATAAAGCCATGACCCAGAGACAGAATAACAGAATCTAAGCAATTTGTTAACATCCAGTTACTTCAGCTTAACCTTTTTGTAAGAAGAAAATACCTAAGGAACTTTAATATCATTCCAATTGGACTGGACTGTTTGGGATTTTTACTAATCTCCACTATCCTGGCTTTTCAGAAGGTCAACAAAATAACTTAGTTTCTGTGTAGTGATGGGACTTTAGTGTGTATGACTCCATTTTGATTTTCAGCCTAAATTGTTGAGGCTTAGTATAGGAGTAGTCCAAAATAGGGATCTCTTATATTTGTGTGTGTGTGTGTGTGTGTGTGTGTGTGTGTGTTGGTTATAGGGCTTGAACTCAGGGCCTGAGCACTGTCCCCAAGCTCTTTTGTTCAAGGCTAGCACTCTGCCACTTTGAGCCACAGCTCCACTTCCTTTTTCTGGTGGTTAATGGGGGATAAGAGTATCGCCTACTTTCCTTGCAGTGCTGGCTTTGAACCACAATCCTCTGATCTCAAACTCCTGAGTAGCTAGGATTACAGGTGTGAGCCACCAGTGCCTGGCTCTTAGAATTTTTATTCTAGTTCTTGCTATTTTAAGATTAAATGGTAAAATAGTAAAAAATATCTCCAAGGCATTTTGCAGTAGATAGAATTAAAGAAACAAGAAAATTCTTCCTAAACAACAGTATTGTATAGGTTTAGATACTGAGGCAAAGGAAGAACAAATGAGATTTCAGAGCCAGATAGTCTCCTCTGCCCCAGGATTTCTATTGTAAAAGACTTTTCATTACTTCATATGCTGATCCTGAGTTTGAAATTGGTTGGTCAACAGTCCGGAAATAAACTCCTGGTTTTCCTTTTCCATTTTGTCTGGTGTGTCTACAGAAATGTGTGCTGCACATCAGGAGGGATAGTAAAGAACCTGGATCAGAACCACATAAAAGGTTGCCCTATGACCCTGGTAACAAAGGAGTAGGGAAGGAGAATAATTCAAAAAAAAGTTAAAAACATACTCATAAGTTACCATGAACTACTAAATACATAGGGGATATTAGAAGAAGGGTGTTTTCCAAGTTGATTTTGAGAAACAAGAAAAATCCATTTTTAAAAGGACTTTCCATTTTATTTTACCAGAAATCAACTTTGTTTTTATACTTAACTGGGGAGGACAGAAAGTAATTGGGAAACTAAATTCTAGAATCATGTAGATTTGTGTTATGTTTTTAGACAAGGAGTTTTTACATTTGGATTCTTTACATATCCAGTCCCTTTTTTCTTTCTCAAGAAAACAATTCCATCTTCTTCTGAGAATATATTTCATTTAGCAGATTGAGTGGAAAACAATATTTGTAAATAAAGGGTCTTTAGTAAAACAACATGACTAGATATGTACTGTGAAATGTGCTCTTGGAACCTCCTCCCCAAATCCAACATGTGGCTTTAGCTAGGCATCTTGTGGTTTTGTCTGGGCTTTCATAAGGGGAGTCTTTCTTCTAGGCAAGGGGGAAGGCTTCCCCTTTCTCAGAGACTTCAGCACTGGTTGTTTGTTTGTTTTTTTAATCATCTTCTTAACCTTAGGTATCTTTTTATTGCTTCTACATTTCTTATCTCCCAAGGAAAAGTAGATCTACTAATCCACTTCCTACCTCGGTGTCATGTGCCTTTAAATTTTTATCTTATATAAGTTTAGTTTTTAAAAATAATTTATCATTATTTTCCTCAATGAACTGGCTACAAGAGTTTATTTTCCTTAGAATCTTCAGCTATTACAATTTTTTGGGAATGAGAGTTTTTGTTTTGTTTTATTGGAGTTGAAATGACGATGTCTTCTCTACCCTGGGTGCTTTAGTCTCCTTGTCAGTTCTTGGAAGTGTGTTCATGTTTAGAATATGTCTCTTCACATACAAAGAGAAAGAGGAAAAGATGAGAAACGCCCCTCCCCCACCCAAGACTAACCAAAAGACTAAGACAAGGCATGTACTAGGAGAAAATTCTTGCCAAAGACCTGTATCACAAATATACAAAGAACTACTTAAACTTAACAAGAAAATTACTCCATTAAAATTGGAGAGAACATTTTGAACAAACACATGAACAAAGAAGATAACCAGCACCTGTGGTAAATAAACATATGAAAAGATATTTCTCTCCTCAAATTAAAGCAACAGTGAGAGGTCTGGGAAGGTGGCTCAGTGGTAGAATGCTTGCCTTGCATGCATGAGGCCCTGGGTCAATTCCTCAGCACCACATAAGCAGAAAAAAACAGAAATGGCGCTGTGGGTCAAGTGGTCGAGCACTAGCCTTGAGCTGAAGAGCTAAGAGACAGAGCCCAGGCCCAAAGTTCAGGCCCCACAACCGATAAACAAACAAACAAACAAAAAACAGTGAGATACCCTTGCACACCTACCCAAATAGCCAAAATCAACACACTGACAATACCAAATGGCAGTGAGATTGTGGAGCATCAGTTATCCATTACTGATGGCAATGCAAAAATTGTTCAGCCACTTAGAAGAAAGTTTGGCCATTTCTTATGCAACTAATCATACTCTTACCATATACTGAGCTCCTTGATATTTACTTCCTAGAAGTTGAAACTTTGTTTCCAGAAAGCTCTGTGCATTTATCTTTATAACTCCTTTGTTCAGAATTGCCCAAACTTGAAAGCCATAAGCTGTTCTTTAGAAGTTGAGTATATGATAGTATATCAGAAATAATCAGATTGCTATCATCTCTACAAAGAAAGTTACTTAAAAAGCTATGAAAAGATATAGCAATGTAATGAAGACTTCTAGGTAGAAGATGGCAGTTTGAAAAGGCTACAAACTACATGATTCCAAGTATAAGACAATCTAGAAGAGACAAACCAAGGGAGAGTAAAACTATGAGTGGTTACCAGAAGTTGGAGATTGGGAAGGAAAATAGGTAGATGATATAGGATTTTTAGGAGAGTAAAACTAGTGTATATACTACTACAATAATAGATCCATGTTATTTTACCTTTGTCAAACTTCATAGAACTTAAATCATTAAGAAGAAATCCTAATATAAACTATAGACTGATATGTCCATGTAGGTTTGTTGATTATAATTTCTAGAATGGAATGTTGATGGTAGGGGAGGTTTGTATGTGTGAAGATGGGGGGATATGGGCTATCTGTACCTTCTTGATCAATTTTGCTCTAAAAAGATAGTGTTTATTAAAAAGGGAGAAAGAAATGGCACAAAGGAAGAAAATCCAAGGGACAGAAGGCACTAAGA